AAAATCCCCACAACTGGACCAATAAGCAACATCATGATAAATGGAGAAAAGATTGAAGTTGTCAAGGATTTCGTTTTACTTGGATTCACAATCAACACCCATAGAAGCAGCAGTCACAAAATCAAACAACGCATTGCATTGGGCAAATCTGCTGCAAAAGACCTCTTTAAAGTGTTGAAAAGCAAAGATGTCACTTTAAGGACTAAAGTGCACCTGACCCAAGCCATGGTGTTTTCAATCACCTCATCTGCATGTGAAAGCTAGACGATGAATAAGGAAGACTGAAGAATTGATGCCTTTGAATTATGGTGTTGGCAAGGAATATTGATTATACCATGGGCTGCCAGAAGAACAAACAAACCTGTCTTGGAAGAAGTACAGCCAGAATGTTCCTTAGAAGTGAGGATGGCCAGACTTCGTGTCAAGTACTTCGGACGTGTTATCAGGAGGGACCAGTCTCTGGAGAAGGACATCACACTTGGTAAAATAGAGGGTAAGCGAAAAAGAGGAAGACCCTCAACATGATGGGTTGGCACAGTCGCTGCAATGATGAGCTCAAACATAGCAAATATTATCAGGATGGCACAGGACTGGGCAGTGTTTCGTTCTATTGCACATAGGATCGCTATTTCGGAAGCAACTCAATGGCACCTAACAACAACAGTGTTGCTGGTAATCTTCATAGACATAGAAATACTAAACACTTATTGTGATTTTTTCAATATTGAAACACTGAAATAAACACTTGGAGCTCATTTTTTTAATTTCTAGCTGCCAAACAGGTTTACATGCTAAGTGCAAATGCATTTCCTTTCTGGGTATTAGGTACTTGTTTATATAAAGCATCTAAACTGAATGGAAGAGACTGAGGCAGAGAATGGTTACAGATCTGTGTATCTGTTGCATTTAAATTGGCACAGCTTCTCATGCCTATTTATTAATGTGTGTGTATGCAATTAAGAAAAATCGAGATAATTCTGCATCTCCAAAATTTCCAAAAAGTAGCTGAATTCGAGACGTCTGTTATTTAAGGACTAGGGGCCAAATTCATCCAGGCAATAAATAATTTTGACTGAAAAAATTTTTTTCTGGTTTTTTGGTTCCAATTTTCAGTTCTGTTCCCATTCGAAGCCCTGGATTAGAGTACACTAGGTCTCTTTTACCTCCACTTTTAGTATTACTATATATTTACATCAGGCATTGCTGTTTTCAGGCTTTCTCGTATCTCATGTATTTCAGTCAGCCTGAATGTTCTACTTCTGTTCGTGTAGCTTAAATTTCCATGGACCTTTCTGGAAGTCTGCTCGCACAGATGATTGACATTGGGTTTGTCCCTGGGTTGTTTCCCAACTGTAGATCTAAGTCTCCTTTATCCTATGTGCATATTTTACCCGTAGGTAATGAACTTTTCATTTATCTTACTAAATTTCTCCTCTGGGCTTCAGTCCACCTTCCAGCCTGCCAAGATATTTTATAGCTTTTAATACTGTCATCTAATACTCTCAATGCTTTGTGTCACCCACAAATTTACTAAGTGTGTCTTCTTTGTCTTCATTCAAGTGGAAGATAAAATTGTTTAAGAAGACAAAGGTCAAGGACAGAGTCCCAAGGCTTGCCAGTAAAGATTTCCCTTCCAGATGCCATAGATATATTAATCATTCATCAACACCTCTTAGGGTACAGTCCTTTTAAATTGTCGTGAATTAGCCTAACTGCTTTATTGCTTGTATCACTAAATGGTTTCTCCATTTGATTCACAAGTATCCCTTGGAACTTAAGATACCTTGTTGAGAAGCCACTAGACTAGGAATTAGAAGACCTGAGTTCTAGATCCAGTTTTACTGCCTTTACCGTGTAACTTCAGATAAATTGCTTGATCTCTGAGTCTCTTTCCTCAACTGGAAGTTGTGTATAATACCACCTGCACTATATATTTTACAGAATATATTGAATATTAATCATGTGAAAATGCTTTCTAAAAATATTTCTGTGCCAAGATTTATCATATGATTTATAATGCAAAATGGAAGTGACATTAACACTCAACAGAATGACTGAATTATGACACTTCCATACAAATATTATGTAACTGTCAAAAATGGTGTTTTCAAAAAATGACAGAGGAAAAATGCTCACAATATAACACATGTTTAAAAGAGCAGGGCACCTAGTGGTTAACCCTTGTGGGAGGGGCTAATAGCTGATGGGGACAAAGTGGGCTTCTGAGGGTCTTCACAACATTCTATTTCTTGATCTAAAATGGTTACACAAGTTTGTTCACTTTTGTGCTTTACTCATACGAGCACTTCTCTGGATGTGGGCATTTAATAAAATTTTACTTGAAAAAAGCAGGAGTCCACAGGAATAGGAGGAGGTAATAGAATGTGTGGCTAATTGCCCCCATGAACAATTGCCTCCTTTGCCATGAGACCAGAAGTGGATGGTGTGACTGGCTACCATTACTGAACATTTTGATCAAAAAATTCTACAGCAGAATCCTGATCAAAAGACAAAATGCAGAACAGAATTCAAATTCTCATAGAATCTAGGCTTTCTGGAGCCATGGAGGCTGAATGAACCCCTGAAACTATTGCCCTGAGGTAATCTTTAAACCTTAAACCAAAAATATCCCCTGAAGGCTTCTTAAAACCAAATAGTTTAGCTTAACTAGTAAAGAATGTCTATCTTGAGCATTGTGCTCTTTTAAGATCTATATGAGATCAAATTGACAACAGCAACTTGAAAGATTAGATAGGAACCTTAGGGAGCAGTGAGTTTATGTTAATGGGGGAGGAACAACTCAGAAAAGGAAGGTGAGAATGCTTGCACAACTTGAAGAATGTAATCAATGTCACTGAATTGTACATGGAGAATCTGTTGAATTGGTGTTATGTTCTGTGTATATTCTCAACAACAGAAATGAGTTGTATTAAAAAAAAGCAAGACTCCAAATAATATAGTAAGATCATACTGCAGATTTTATACTCTGTGTTTTAAAAAGTGGCAAGAAATATAGCAACATGTTAATAATGGTATATCTGGATGGTGAGATTACAAGTGACTTTAATATTCTTTGAAGCTTTCTCTTCTATAATCATCTCTTTTATAATCAGAATAAAATATTAAAAAGTTTAAAAAAACGTTAAAACATATTAAAATGTTAAGACATTATTCTAGCAGAGTGCCTGAAATGTAATGCTGCTCCATTAATGTGGGATGCATGATTACCCCTGCAGTACCATGGATCACTTTTATATGGCCTTCCTCACCATGGTCTTGTAACTCCCACCCAAGTGATTGGGTGGTACCAATAAGGTAATTGTGGCCCACCAAGGGGACAGGATAGCTTGCTAATAATGCAAATAAAGTTCATGGCACCCATTTGGTGGTGGGACCATACAAACAAGGTCTATGGAACTCTAACAAAGGGATTGGTCAGTTTTGCCATCCCACTAGGCTTAAAATGAGCCATCCCAGAGGCAGGAAGAGGATCTTACCACCACCAAAGAGGAACCAGGAGCAGAGCATGTCCTTTGGACCCAGGATCCCTGTACTGAGAAGCTCCTGGAACCAGGAGACCGAGAGAACTGTTAACACTGAAGATGGCAAGAAGTGGTGGCAGAGAAACGGTGGCAGCAGAGGCCGGAGATCAGCAAGAGACGGCTTGGTACCTCACTCTACTTCCCCAGAATTCCTTGAAGATTAACTGATTGTCTCACACAAACCCACCGGCCTCTTCTAACCTGAGACCAGAACAACTAGATGGTGCCCGGCTACTACTACCTGTTCTGACCAGGGACACAACAAAAGGTCTTGGATAGAATGGGAGAAAAATGTAGAACAAAATCCCAATTCCTAAAAAAGGCCATACCTGCTAGACCAATAAGAGACTACAGGAACCCCAAGACTATTGCTGTAAGATACCCTTTGAACTTGGCACTGAAGCTACTCCTGCAGGTCACCTTTCAGTCAAATAATAGATTGGCTTATAAAATAAACAATATCACCTGTGAGTAATGTGCTCCCTTAAACAATCAACTATATGAGACCAAATGGTCAACATTTATCCAAAAGCAAAGATGAGGAGAGGAAGGGAAGCTCTTATCAACAGAAACTGGGCAAATAGAATGGAAATAATGAGAATGTCAACACATTGTGAAAACTGTAACCAATGTCACAGAACAATTTGTATAAAAATTGTTAAACGGGAGCCTAATTTGCTGTGTAAACTTTCACCTAAAAAAACAATGTTAAAAAAAATAATTAACTGATTGTGCTTGTCTGGGGCAAGAGACTCCAAGTCATTTCAATCAGCCAGGTGCTTCCTGTACCTCATCTCACCCACCTTGAGGTTGGAATTACTCTCTCAAGCCCCACTTCCTTCTCAACCATGGTGGCTCTACTCTCTAAGGGTGGAAATAACAAAAGAATTTGGGATTTCTGTCTTCTGCCCTATCATCACGCTTCTCGTTTTTGTTTTCTTTGTCATACTACTGCTACAACCACAAAACTAAGCCTTGTCTCTTTATTGTCCTTTGCATTTCTTGAAAAACTCTGGGAACTAATGCTTCTAACACTGTTCTTAGAGATCCATGCCACTTACTGGTATTGACCATGGTTTTGTGCTGTCTTTAACTTGGGTCCTTGTCCTTTTAAATCTCAGTTGAGTTCTCAGAAAGCATCAGGATAGGGGTCAGTTTTGATCATATCTATGATCTATTAAAAGTGCTTTAAGGATATAATGAAGATCCTGTTCTTGCACTTTAAAATTCAATTTTTAAAAAAACACCAAACCTTCGTCTAACTTTAGCAGTGGTTTTAACTTCTTCCATTTTAAAGCTTCTTTGAATACTTTTCTAGTCCGACCATCTCATGGTGAGGGCCCTGAAATGACTAAAAATATAAAGAAAAGGAAGTAGAGATCAGAAGATGCTAGATAGATCACTGAGAACCAACTTAAATCCCCCCCACTCCTCGCCCCGGAATCTCATCCTCCTTTCCTGAATTTGGTAATATTTATGTATACTTTGGATTATTCTCAACACCAAGAAAATAAATGTCAGCATTTAAGTTAGGAAGATACATTATATGTATCTTGGTACTAGTAGTAATATCCTCAGAAAAAATACAAGGAGCTTAGTATGAAAAATAACCTGTTTCCCTCATCTACCAAAATCCAGAGTTAAAAACTTAAGACAGGCAATTCACCATCTCTGTTAAAATGAGTACATGTTGTTTCCAATTTATATGTTCCGTTTTAAAGTGCAAGGACAACCAGAAATTAGAATGCACTTCCAGAAAAAAAAACAGTGATATGAGTGGCGATTAAGGGCTCCAGCCAGGTCAACAACAACAAAAAACTTTCAGTAAAGTTTTTAGTAATAATACATCTCTATTAGTGAAGAGGATGCATTCCAATGCTTATTAGACACTCTGTTATGAGAGATAAAAATTACATAGGAAACAGAGGGATGCATTACCAAATCTCACTCTTAAGACAATGTCTGAAAATGTGGCCATCTTTGTTAAGATTGGCTGAAGTTACCATGTAGGTAGGTAAGTGCTGGAGTAGGTCTTTCTGATGCAGGAGTCAAGATGTGGCAGGCCCTGTATAAGTGGCTGGTGAGACACTCATTGCTTTGCCTGCTGAATCTCAATCTCCACTGGCATCAGCTAGACCAGTCAGGGGAGCAGGCATCTAGAAGGACTATTTGTCCATCCGTTCTGATACCCCTTTCATGGCTCCCCTTTTTCCCAGCTATTTTCCATCTACTTGCAGATGGTGGGAAATGAGTCACTTTAGTCCCTAACCCCTCTATAAATATAAAAGGCTTAAAATTAAAATGCAAATGTCTACTTCAGAGAAAACGCTGTGTGGTCTTTGGTTAAATGTACAATCAAGCAACAGGTATAAATGAGTAATACCAGCTCCCTCACTTTTATGAGAGCAGGATATTAGCCATTTGGAAAGGGGTGGGGAGAGGGAAGGCTAAGAAGTGGGTTCACAAGAGAAGGGAAAGAGAACAAAAGGTAAAACTGAAGACTGCAGCCTTTGCTTTGTGTCGAAACTGTTGACCTGTAGCTGGGCAAAATCAAGATCACACACACAAAAGCACGCAAACACAGGCATGGAGGAGCTCCTTGACATGAATTGAAAACAAAAACACTTCTACTTCAAATAACAAATAATGATTTCTGTTATGTTTGTGCTTTTACAATATAACTGGCTTATACTTGTATAAAGGAGATTTTTTACCAGGGACTCATTAACTAGGAACCTAACTTCACTCTGGGAGAACAAGTATGCAGCACCAGGAGGAGGAAGTAGGAAGCTCCTTTCCATGTTCCTGGGCACAGGGCCAGTCTTTAAGAAAATTTCCAAATAAGCAGTTTGGGTTTATTCTTACTGTCTGCAAATACCCAGGACCTTCATGCAACCTTTAGCTATGTAGGGCTATCTAGTACCCTCAAGTGCCCTGTGCTTTAAACTCATCCTTCTCTTCTGACTTCTACCTCTATCAAAACTCTCTTGCCCTCAGAGAGGGACGGGGCTTCACTTAGTGACAGAATCTCTTAAAATAATCAATGGTAATGAGTTAATGATCAGAGAGTGAACATCCCTCTTAGAGACCTGTTTTAAGAGATAAAGCATAAAATCTCAAGTGAATCTCTAACTGGTAGCATTTCGGGCAAAATAATAGTAACGTAAAAAATAAAAATCGGGTTCCAGGTGAATGTTGGGAGATGGGGTTAGCTTTTCAGGTAGCTCATACTGAATATGTATACATCTCCTTTGGGCCATTTCTGCTTTACATGGCTTTCTCCCCTTTTCTAATGCTTAACCCAGAAATTCTCTAAAACCACCCATGTTTGTTCTGGAGATCCCTCTCCATCCATTCACCCACTTTTTGGGATGGTATCATATCACAGAGAAAAAATGGTACCACACAAGAGTATGACAGCTCAAATAGGAAACTTTAAACTTAACACTAGTACATTACTGCATACATAGTAACATATATAATACATAGTTTAGGTAAATTATCATGTTATAAAAATATACAATAAAATCTTGTAAGAAATTCTGAATGGACTAATTGATGCTTGATAGTCTCTCAAATAGAATAAAATGAAACTGTAGTTCTTAGTTAAGTTTCATCAATTTTTTTTAATTCTCTTTGATTTATTCTCCTCTTTTTCTACTGTTTTCCTTTCTGCTGGTCGTTTCTTCAACCCCTTCATTTTTCTGGTTTGTAATTTGCTTAGGTCTTGCTTCTGCATGTGAATCCTTCCATAAGTTGTACCAAAAGTATCATGGGAGATATTTTTCTTCTTCTTTGGCTATAAAACAAGAATGTTTTTAAAAAATAATATACCAAGAATATTATATTTAGTGGTTTCTACTCTTATGAACTGATAACAAATCTATTAACTATCTTACTAATCTTTCCATTAGTGAGCACCCCTTGAAAGCTATAGAGTCTACAGCCCATACACACCTTTCTTCTTAAACTTAAATGTGCATACAAATCACCCTGGGTCTTGTAACATGCAGGTTCTGATTAAGTAGGTCTAGGGTAAGGCCTGAGATTCTTCATTTCTAACAATCCTCAAGTAAATTGTCAGACACACTTTGAGAAGCAAGCCTACTGACTACCTTAACTACTGTCATGCATCAAGAGAATTTCCTGTGTTTAGCTTAAGGAACTGTGACTATCATTTCAATCTTTATTGGCATTCCACAGATGCCATTTATACTTGTCTTTAAAAAATGCTTAAAAGCCAAAACACATACATGTGAATGGATTGTACACTGTGCTCTAAATCCCCAGCTTTCATGATGCACAAAATGATTCTCATTAATCTTATTAAAATTTTGAAAAAGAAAGTTGAGAAAATTTTGTGGTTTTGTTGTATTTTTTTTACTGAAAACTCGCAGTCTTGGCTACCAGAAAGCCCTCAGCCAAATTTGATGCCTGGTTTCTGCAACTCTGTTAGTATCCTTTATAACTGGTTTATTTGCTTCTTCCTCCTTTTCTTGCCTCTGGGAGTCCAATTATATCTATATTGCTCTCATTATGTATGTCCTTTAACGTAATATACGTCAAATTCTTTTGGGAATCAAGAATGTAATACACAAATATTATGACACCAATCTGCAAGTCATGTACCTTGAGAGCTTTTGGCATTTTCATAGATAACTTATAAAGGTCATCTGATGCCAGGTGTGTCCTCCTCAGAACCAGATCCAATGAGGGTCCCATCTCTTCCAATTCAATCCGTGGTGTTCTGCAACCAGATTTCTTCAACAGCAACCTATATGAAAAAATGAAAAAAGAAAAGCTGCTTTGACTTTTATAAAAGTCCTTCTCCTAAAATATTTCTGTTGAAGAGAATTATAGTTCTGTGAAATGACATAATATGTCTAGAAGGCTAAACTTAATTAGCATACAAATTTGAATTGGAACTTTGAAACAATATGAAACAACATGATTAACAATTTCTTACATCTCTGTAAGACTGGGAGGTAAATCAACCCATTCAGAATAAGCTTTTCTCTATAGCAGAAATTTAGTGACTTCTGTAGATTGGAATGAACTTAAAAATCTTAATGTAACAAAACCACAACTTTCTGGATATCATATGTCCAAAATAGCTCTGGATCTGGAAACAC